GTGTACCTCTGAGGCGGATACAGGATTTTCGAGAAGGGGCTTCGGGATAAGGACCACCCAAGGTGGTCCCCTATGGGGGTGTCCCGGGGTATCCTCCCCCAGAAAATGCCTCCTCCTCCCCCTCCCCTAGATCCGTCTCAGTAACTGAGTTAATAAACATGTAAATATAGCAATAAGAAAACTAAGTTTTTATATTACAATCATTTATTTACAATTTTGGGAATTTCTTAACGAAATCCAGAGAAATCTAAAAGCAGGAATGTAATCCAACATTTAAGTCAGTTCTAACATTGAGGACTAGTTCAGATATTTGTGATGGCAATGCCATCAACCTATTTACAACAATACTCTTAATTTGTGATCAAACACTGCGTGCTTCATTTTCAAGACTGATCAACGACTAATTTCTTCTAAAGTATGAATACTTCGTCAGGCAAAAAGGTTGAGAGTAAGAATCAATAGGAGATTTCGTGGTTATCAACATTCAATCTAACAAACTTTGACATTACTTGGCACGTACCGGTGATAGCATTAAAATAGTTTTGATTTGTGTGACCCACTTCTTTCAACGCGGTCTACTCGATCAGGACTTGGAGTCCTTAGAAATAATAATTTTGTTGAGGTACAGTAATTCAATATCTATAGTTTGGATTCAGTGGTGGTTTTGTTTAGTTTAATACTGACTTGTAAAAACGACTTGTTTTCAACGTGTGATCGAATCTTCTTGAGTAAAAATTGCCCGCCATTACCCGTTGTAAAAACATGTGCTTGATCTCAGCCGCCATAAAAAGATGGTGCACTGAAAGTAAAAACTGGGAAATAAAATATTATTTCGTTTTACTTCTTATCTAAGATTGCCTCGCGCTTCAGGTCGTCTTTTGTCTGCGGGCAGCCCCTTAAATTCTTTGTACAACCGTCTTTGCATCCGTCGGAAATAAAGAGAGCCCTCCATTTTTGTAAGGTTTGCCAAGCGACATAACAAGCCCTTATGACGGCAAAGTTATTAGGGCAAGTACATAGTTTGTTGAGCCCACATTTTGAGCGTTCGTCCTTCGCAAAAGCGAAGTGACGACGGGTTGACATGTTCATTTTCAGTACATGTTCGTGAACACTCGTACAGTTTCGGATGATTAACGCTTCCGATAGCTTTACGAAGATTTACGAAACTCGTTTGTGTTGCAGTGTGTTCTTCTGCTAGCCGCTTTTCCAGAATAGAACTGAAAAGATCTTTTGTTGGACTCCTCCTCTGGATTATTCTCATGATCTTGAATTCTTCAAGGAAGACATACAGCTAACTACATAATTTAATTTATAAACACGGTGCGGTCATGTGTCCTCCTTCTTCTCCGTATACGGCGGTGGAGGAAGGGAAACTTCCACCTCTTGGTAAGCTGGCAGGTAGGGGAGCTTAATCGTTTGGTATGGGGGAGGAGGGGGTCGCTCGTCATGTCGTGGAGTTCTTGCTTCTCTTTCCACTCCCCTCCGGCTTGAATGACCTCGCGGTCGGTGATGCCTGTGGGAGTGATGGGAATGGTGACGAGGCGTGGATGAAGGTTGACTTTGTGATCTTGATATCTGCAAGTTAGAAGAAAAAAAAAAGCTTTATGTTCTCTCCTAGGCTAATATCAACAGAACTAAGCCAGTAATGAACATAATGGTGTGATGTGCTTTGGATACTACTACCACAACAAGCAATATTGACCATTTTTGTCAGAATATAACTGAATATAATTGTCACATAACAACCTGAATGAAGAAAATAATTTTTTGACTGAAGTCAACTCCATAATTTACTTCGACTAAGTTATCATCATCATCAACATCATCATCATCATCAATACTGACATCATCATCATCAATAATGCATCATCATCATCATCAATACTGACATCATTATCATCATCAATACTGACATCATCATCATCAATACTGACATCATCATCATCATCATCAATAATGACATCATCATCATCAATAATGACATCGTCATCATCATTATCCACTGTCATAATGCCATGCCGACACAGCAAGAGCTAATCTAAGTTATCAGTAAGAGTTATACATTTTAGTAATCCAAATTGATTTTGTCAGATTGCACACAGTCTGCATCAGTTTTCTACTTACCCTTCTCTGTTCTCTAATTTCTTCCAAGGTGTTTTCTGATGCCACAGATGTTGATGTGATCATGCAGGCAGATGATGAAAGTTCTACAGGTTCACTTGTATGCTGCAGAAAACAGAGGAATGTGATCGAGTTACATGGCTTGTAAACTACCTTGTATTCAAATGGCTAATCATTAATACTTCATTTATATGAAAACTTAGTTTTCTTATTGTTTTATTCATAAAAGTGTTTATGTCCAGTGTATCTTTTGGTGTATACTGTATCCCTTAGTTCAGCCCTGGGGGGGGGNCACCCTATTTATGACCAAAATCTGTGATTTTTGCTATCCTATTTATGACCAAGCCAAAAATTCAATACCCTGTTTATGACCGTTGCAGCTGGCATAGTTGCCCTAAACATAAGTTATGAAGGGCTTTTGTTGACAGTCATATTGGTAATGATGAAAAAGTAGCTTTGTCTAAGATACATACCCAATTCAAGACTAGAGTGCTAAAACCATACCGTATTTAAGACCAAAATGGCCAAAATTGATACCATATTTATGACTAAAACGGCTGAAAAACCCTACCCTGTTGCTGGGCTGCACAGTTACCTATATAGTCCTTAAGAAGGTACCCCCCTAAGAGTTCAGCTAACTTTCCTTGCAACTTTCTCGGCTGAAATTCAGGTTATGGATACTGTTGATAGGTTTACCGGTGCCAGATATTATTTACATGTTTATCAAGTCAGTTACATTACACAAGTGGAAAATTGACGTTCCAAGCATTAGCTCTTTATCAGAGCAAAGACAAAGCAAGGTGTCTGCCCTGACAAAGCTAAAGGCTCGAAATGACTAATCAGCTTCACAAACTTGCCCAACAGGCAATCATTAATTTCTTCCATCAGTGATAACAAAGAACCTCACTAACTTAAGGATACTGTTATGTACTATTCTAACTTATATTCATTTGCTGGAGTCAACTTAGCCTCCTACGCACATGCTCTTCAGGCTTGTCATGCAATCTTCTAACCCCATGAATGTGGGAAAGAAAGATTGCATGACAAGTGCAAAGAGGATCTGCGTAGAAGGCTAGAATTGACCAAATGTCTTTTATTCACAAAGTACTTCAAACATAGTGGTGTTATAACTTTGTGGTAAAATTTAACCACTCCCACGCTAAACTTGTCAGAGACAATGCAGTTCAATGTGCTGACTTTTGTACAGGGTGTATCAGCATTGTCTTTAGAGAAAGAGCTCTGCCCCCAGCATCAACCATTTAATTTCACCAGTATTAAATCTTCAACAAACTGCTAAATGAACTAAATATAAACTTCACAAAAATAAAAGGCATTAATGCAGCTAAGTGACCCCCTTAAAATCTTATTGAAACCACTGTCACTGGTAATAGCTGTACCAACAGATCAATGAACTTCTAATATGGCAATCAGTAAATCTGGTTAAAATATTTCCAGCTTAGGTAGATATTCCTGAAAATGGGATTCTCCTCAGCTATGGTGAAGATCTATCCTGGAGGAATTGGGAAAATTAAAGTATCCAGATGCTACCTGGGTAAAAGCCCTTACAGGGATTTTAAAACTTATAAACAAAAAAAGCAAGACTGACATTGGTGCTCTACCTGTAAATGTGGAGGCTTGTTACAGCAGTTGTATTGAAAAAACGAGGACTTGAATGCAACAAAAGCTCCCTTCATGCTGACAACAAAAGTTATGGCCACAACACCAAGAAATGAACCAAAAAATAAGTTCCAAGATACGTCTTTCTCGCCAGACACAAGCATTGGCAGAATAATCCAAAACATCAGGATACTTGCAATGATCGTGAAAATACAGAACACTAAGAAAACATGAATCTGCAGAGACAAAAATACTTTTAATTCACAGTAGGTAACATGAAATCTGCATACAAGCCAAGTGGCCCATCAGGCTGGTGCTTATCCCAGTTTCTGTAGCATGAAGCAACTAGGAGTATTTCTAATCCCCCCTAGATGGGATACCAGTCCATCACAGGGTTACTCCCAGCATTAAGTTCGCTGGTACCCATTAATACACCTGGGTGGAGAGAGGCACTGTGCCAGGGCTCAAGTCTGGACTGCTTGTTCTGAAGACATGGGCACTAACCATGAGCCCACCGTGCCTTCCAACTTTTTTCATACAAAAGAAAATTTTTTTGCGTCATAAAAATGTACTAAATTACACGTACAAATGTCATGTCAGTGTAGCTGTTACCAGAAATGTGGTGATCTACTCACAGCAAAACTGAAATTTCTTCTAGTAGATGTTTTTAAAGCAATTTTATAACATCACTAAAATGAAACATTTATAAATTAAATGTAGAGATCAAATTTAAATCAGAGTTCTTCACTCTGTTTACTCAGTTGTTTTTATTAATTTGCTATAAAACAATTATACCGGTAGTTTAAAAAACCCAGTCAAATTATTTTAGTGGATGTGTCCCAGCATTGATGACAAATTTCATGAAAATGTTAACAAAACAATATGAGCTGACTTTCCTGGTAAAATGCATCACATATGCACAGCTCTTTTGACAAATTATGACACATACAATTCATTACTGAACAGAGCCGATAGTCAATGGAATTAAAAAATTTATGTGAGTTTGAAAAATATTTTTTAAGAATCTTAAACAGCAAAACAAAGATTTTTTTAAGTTCTGGTTTTTAAGGGCTGCTGAACCTGAAAATTTACTTTGTTTATGACAGAGAATACTCACCGTTATCTTTTTAGGATGCTTATAACTAAGACATCCTAAGCCTCCATTCACTACAAACTGAAACAACAAAAGATAACTGAAATATATAAAATGTACAGCTTTCCCATTGGACCAGCCAAAACTGAAATTGTACACTGTCTTGTATTTTTTTTTTACTGTTACAGACACATTTAACTAAATTGAACAACAGAGACACAATATCTAAGGATGTTAGGTGGCTCCCTGTAGTTTCAAGACCACACAGTCGGCACATACTCAAAGAAAAAATCAGGGTTTTAAAATTATGATGTCAGCATGACCGCAAGATAACCTGACAGTGGATTTTCTTGTGTTTCCTTAAATGGAATTTCATAAAATTTGTCAGAGTGGTTATAATTCAGTATATTAATTTATTCAGCAATTCCTTTTTCCGGAAAATCCAGTATTTACACAGTGGAAAAAGACACAAATTTGATTAATAAGGTTGATATACTGTATGTCTGCTGGTTTTGGTGTTTAAGGCTCTAATATCCAGTCCAATTCACTGTACTAAATGAAAAGTTTGGAAGACTACACCAAAGAAAACTAAAAAAGATTGTACTATTATGAAAGTAAACTGCACAAACACTGAAAAATTCGACAAATGTTGTTTGTACGGTTTAGGTTCAAAATACTAAACATCGCTGTACAACAGTACAATGGTTTTTCACCATTACGTAAAATTACATTTGATATGTTCAAGTTGCCAGCTAGCGCTTGTGTGTGACGTTAAGGATGAATGTGCATTATCGGGACCAAGAGAGCATCACTCCTTACTCATTGGTTGGATCAATGCGCTTATCACTAGGTTACCTCACCTCCCAGCATAAGCATGCGGCAAACCATAAATAATTATCCTATGGAGCCACCTACTGCAAGTCTGATAATCAGGTCTTGTAAGAGCTGAAGTACGAAATATCTTTCAAAATACAATTTTCTGGTTCAAGATTTAAGTTATTTTTCAAGAATTGTAATTTCAAATCAAACACGAACTCATTGTTAAGGGAGTAGTGTAAGTTGTTTGACCGACTATGACAAGTACTAAATGTCAAATCCTGGTGCATGGCTAAATATATAAATTGACGATTCACAAAAGAATTAACTCTTAGATACATTGACCTCTACAAGATTCATGGAAAGTTTATGACTGTTTACGCTTGAGTTTTCGTCAAGATTTTTCGAAATATTGATCGATTTACGCCCTTCCTCGATCGTGATCACAAATTAACCTTAATAATTTTTATTTGTAATATTCATGACTTCTGCAGCTGTTATCTAACCTACCTCTGGTAAATCAAACTATGGACATATGTAAATGAAATGTTTGAAAAGCACTGTGGTCTTAATATTTTACGTCGTCGCCAACCATGCAAAGCTAAATTAAATGTTAATGTTGGCGACTTTTTTACTTCCATTTTCGATGGGTTCCTAAGGTGATCACAAAGAACTGAGCCAGACCACGTCGTTTCAAATTAAATTTCGTTTGTTCTCAAAATAAATATGAAAATTCCAAGCTCTCGACGAACGTGTTAGGCGTTACGTGTTCGGCATATTAAATTCAGTTTTTCATACACACCAGTATCCCAGACCAAACTGGAAGTCCTTCTGCTTTAAACTTAAAAAACGCCTGATGATCCTCCTTTCTTGTATTAAAGGCTCCAATCCCAATGCTTATTAGGCCGCCCAGTATTTGCACTATTCCAACATGAAGGGCTGTTTTGACAGAATAAAAATTCTCCGCCATTGTTCAAAACTGTATTCGTCTTGTCAACAGAAACTACGGCCTGGCTACAATGTTAATGAAGGCACGGTGCCCAAGCGGTGGCGAGCGATAACACAACATGGGGTGTCATGGCGTAGCTTAGAAGAACATGGGTTGGTTCGTCGTTTTTGTCTTGTTTATCTCCGTTTTTTTTGCAGGATTTTCATTCAGGTCACTGTTTCTCTATGTAATCCTTGCCAGCGCAAGCTTTGGCTTGACGCACATTTTTCTCACAAATAAATGGGGACTGGATGGTTTATTTGAAGAGCTGTTCAAAATTGTCGAGTTCTTTGGTTTTGGAGCACCCCATCGCTTGGAAAACAGGATCTCTTACTCATCTTTCTACACTGATGGTGGTTTTCGCAGCCTTAATGAGATTCCGAAACCCTTAGAGAAATGTTTCAAAAGGTTGATCGAGAACATCATCCGCGACTTTATCCTTACATGGTACCACAATGTCGGAGAGGAAAAGCGATTCATCTCTGAAGCACGAGAATCACTAGAGATGTTGTGTTTGGAGGGATACAGGCGGGCTTCGCAGATTGATTCGCATTACTTGATCGAACAAGTCATCGTGGTTTTTCACGGACATTTGGAGAGGTTTAACGAAGCAATGGCGATCGTGAAAGCGAAAAACCCTAAACTCAGATTGAGCATTAGTTCTTCCCAACTGCTCTGTCAAACCTACGTATCACAACTGGCTTCCAAACCGCCATCGCTTTCAAAACCGGCGGCAGAACTCAGCTACTTAAGGAATGTTATTGATTCACTGCTCGTTACGATGATTCCCAAGGACAAGTACAGCTGTGATGCTGGGAGATTTATTTTGAGAGAGATTTTAACCGTTCGAGTTGTGGAACCTTTGGTTGGACTTTTAACTGATCCTGATTGGATAGGCGAGGCAGTGATTGACATTCTCTCTGATGATGAGAATGGGAAAGTGAGCAAGTCAACGGATGGTGATACTCTGGTTGTGAAGGAAAGTGATAGTTTGGATGATGCTGTTGAACCTGATTTGTCAGAAGAGATACATCCTCTGTCCTTGGTGGAGAATGCAACAAGAGTAACTGCGGCTGCTCAAACAAAACCACAAAAAGAAGAAATGATGAAAATGCCAAGGAAAGAATCCATGGAGGATGTGGGGGAAAGAATTGAAATAATGTCACCAGGACATTGTGAAGAAAATTCTGATTTCCGCTGGTCAGTTAGTTCACAGAGACAGCCGCCTGTTGGAGAGAGTCAACATGATAACACAGAATCATTTCTGGTTATTTCAGTTGATGAGAGTGGAGAAAGCAGCCTGGAGGAGCATACTCCAAATGGAAGGAACTGGTCTACAGAGGTTGTCCCTCCATCATCTGTGGACAACCTGACATCCTGTAGTTTGTCCTCTTCATGGAGCGTCTGCCCATCGTCACAAGATGAATCTTTCAATACGCCAAGTTTTGAAGATATGAAGTCAAATCTCCCAAAGTATGAAGGTAATGTTGATGTGGGAACAAAACTTGGAGAATTTGGTCACAGCTTGAAAGAACTGACTTGCTGTCACAAGTTTGAAGAGAGTGGTGACACCTACCGACCCATGTCAATGGTTGCAGAAAGAGGGAGTAGTGATGAGGGGTCTGACATGGAGGAACCATGCCCAAGACTTAGAAACAGAAGTCTGTCACTTCCAGGATGTGATGAAATGTTTGAAAATAAATCTTCGTTCTATCCTTGCCATAGTGAACTCTCAAGGTCTGTGAGTGTTCCTACCAAGCTCTCATTTGCAGATTTTGATGAGCAAGATATTCAAAAGTTTTCCACTCCAGCCAGCCCGAGAGGGTTTTATGGCTCTCCACTGTATAACACAGGCTTTGGTAGTGGCACAGACAGTTTTAAGTCAATTTCCAGTCAAGAGGATCTTTTAGATACTTATATTGAGAGAGGTGAGGAAGCAGTAGAACATTGTGAAGATTTTGACTCATACAGGTTTGATTCTCCTTGGACTGGTGCCAGGCATAGAATAACTAAGCAAGCTTCCTTTGAGGATTCCCATGACAAACAAACATCTAATAATTTACCTACAGTTGATTTAACTGGTTCTAAAGAGACATCTTCACCATTCAACAAAGACAAATTTAGAGCTGAAAAAATAGCATTACAAAGTAAGAAGGACTCTCCAGGATTAGATGACATCAGAGAATCATCTTGGGAAGCTGCAGACAAAGGTCCCCCTGATGACGATGCAGTTAGCCGCCGGAAACGTTTACGCCTGGGATTTGGAGCACAGAATGCAGAGTCTTTTAGTGATGCAGTTCTTACTGCTGGCAAGAAATTTGTATCAAATTTCAAACCGCCATTTAAATTTGACAGTCTTAGCAGTAGTAGCAATGGTAGTGCAAAATCAACAGAAGCAAGTACAACTTCTGAAGGTGAATTGCTGGATCATTCTTCAAGGACTCTACAGAAACTCATAGCGATAAAAAAGTCCTTAGATGCTGGAAGAGTCTGATCAGCAACATTTGGAGGAAGAAAATTGTCAAGAAGTGATGCTATGATTGAAGAATCCATTGACAGTGATGGAGAGACCTGTTATGGGACACCTCAAGAGGAACTGGCAGAAGAGATTATGGAAGTCGGCAACGCGGAAGAAACAGTGGATGGTAGAAACCTAAGGAGTGTTAAAAGAATGCACCCAAGTCAGCTTATTTCCATTCCTAGCACTGTCGTAGCACTGGAGACAACTTGGGAACCAGGAAGAAATAAATACACACTTTACAAAATAGAGGTATGTAGGAACAAAGTGGTGTATTGCAGAACATTGTACATCCTATGCCTTAATTTTCATTCATAAAGACTTGTTTTTTCTCAGTGTCTTTTTTCAGATGAGAGTATGAAAGCTGACAACTGGGTAACACATACCTGTAGCATGAAATAAATGCTAGAGAAAGGAGGGAGGGAGGAGATAAATAGCCCATGCTAGGGGGGGTTGGCATACAGGGTTCATACAGGTCATGGAAAACCTGGAATGTCATGGAATTGATTATTTCAATTTCCAGGTCTGGAAAGTCATGGAATTTTGGGAAAGGTCATGGAAAGTCACTGAAAAGCAATATGCTTTGAATTCTTAGTTAGAATAAAATGGCAAAAAGACAAAAAATTGAAAAAATAACAGACAAGTCAGAAACAGACTTTAATTTCAGTACAAGTAGACACAAGCATGCATTTTATCCATTATAGTGCTGGAAAATATGTTAAATAAATGATTGTTTTAATACTACTGTGAGAACAGCTGCTTACATGTAACTTTGGTCATGGAAAACTTCGAAAGGTTACTGAAAAGGTCATGGAAAGTCATGGAATTTTGAAAGCTTAAAAGAGTATGGACCCTGGGATAGAATATTTCCTTAGAGAAACAGTGGCCAGACTCACTGTTAGAAATTACAGTAACTGTCTTTTATTTAAACAGTATGACATTAGGATATGGTATGAGGTTTACAATGCAGCAATAAGGCAAGCAAAAGATGAGGCCAAAAAAGAAAAGATGAAAAGGAAACTGTATGCAAGAGAGAATGAACCAGAAGATGAAGAACTTTCCTTGGAGGCAATCAAGAGCAGGGTTCCACTGAAACGCATGATAAACAGAAGATATCGAGAATTCATGGAGCTGCATAACCGTCTCACAGCTGGAAAACTTGGCATCCACATGAAAGGTATGAATGAAGCTCAGTCTGTTTGAAGTTACTGACTCACGGCAAGGGTGATGTGAATTAATATATCATGAAAGACCGTGTTTGACAACATTTCCAAACACCAAGAAGAAAGTTGAAAATATGATTTGCAGCAGAGTATTTTTGACGAACTTCCAGATATGTCCAGGATTGAACACTAATGAGATTCAAATTCCTTATGATATGCATCACAAAGTGTCCTCATTGATAAAAAGTCACCAAAACACACACAATTTTGTCAAATATGAAGTAATATGAAAATGTCATATAACCCTGCTAAATATGAAGTACTAATTAAACAATACCTGCGTTCAGTCCTGGACATAAGTGCGAACTTCAAGGTGTTTGGAAATGTGGTTAAACACTGTCTTGAGTGTTTGATATATCTTCTCAATCAAAACTAAAACTAAGGAGGAAACGAAGAATTAAAATCGTAAAATCTATTTTAATTAGAATTAGATATCTCAACACCATCACAGTCGTCACAGTCAGAATGTTAATTAAATAAAGTCACTTCAGTCTGTGCTACATGTATATATAATATGCGGCTTGTATGTATAATATATATGACTTGTAATTTGACACTTCATGTATGCCTGTGAAGTGATCCTTTTATTTACATATTTCAGATATTCTAAAGCCAAACAGGAAGTACAATCTGCCATTTGGAAGACTTGATCCTCACGTAGTGGAAGGAAGGAGGGAACTTTTGCAGTATTACTTAGGGGTGAGAAATTTTTTTTTGCAAATTGTCCCCACATGTTTTAACATTTGTTATAAGATAATTTGTCACAAGCTGTTCAAAATGTGANTCATACACTATAAACAGTCTGCCTGTTTGCTGTTCAACAAATAAACTCCTAAAGACATGGCTAGGAAAAGCCAAGTATTTTTGCATATGTTACAACTCGAAAATGAAGCAAAAACCAGCGACAAAAATATAGGGCTGCGTTTTTCTATTACATTAAAGACCACATGCAAAAATTCAAGCCCTTTTTTTTCCACCCAAATCGTCACTTAGCATGGTTTTGCACTCACCCCTTCAATTATTATTATTTCAATTTGTATACATGTATGTTTAAGGTGATTCTCTTTGTCATTTACAATAGGATTTTTTACTTTCTCTAGAGCCTAATATGCAAACCACCACTGCGAGATAGTGAAGACCTTAAACAGTTTCTTGGTGTGACTGGAGGAGAACAAGTATCTTTTATCAAACCCAGTGTAGCACAGATTGTAAGCCAGTCAGTTCATGTACCACGAGTAGACAAGGTATTGTGATTAATAGTACTGCTGTCATCATGTTCTGGGGGGAGGGGTGGGGGGGGGTGGGGAATAATTTCCCATAAAAAATTGAAGTGGTGGAACTTTAACATTTTCATGTAATTAATGCTGTGAACTTTTTTTTTTCATATTAGATGCTAAGCCGACAGATGACCAAAGTGATTGACACCATCAAGACAGCTTTTGATTCAGGTAAAGTTTGTTTAAAAGAGTCTTTTTTATCAGTACAGTACTTCCCTGCTATAATGAAACTCAAACTCCCTGTTGACTTGACCCCGGGCCCATTTACCTTGGGTTTAATGCCATCTCTTCAGTCACTCACCATCACTTAATTAACTCCTGACCAACAAGATACCGGTAATATTGATTTTCTTGGGTGATAATTACGATAACTCAAACTTTACGTTCAAAATGTTTGTCAACTTTGATCAGAAAACACTGAAATAGCTGATTACATGTAACCTGTCAAAATCTAAACTTTTTATTTGAGATCAAAGTGAATGTCTGGAAATATGATCAAGTATGTCGAAGACTGAAAACAACTCTTGAACATGTATGGGTGGCAAAAGCACAACACGTCATTAACTGATAACATGATAATTGGAATTCAAAATTAGCGTGGCTAAGTCAATTAAAATTTTCCCTAGGCAGCTCAAGCTAGTGGGGTTCTACTGTATTTTAAGAGTAAATTGTAACAAATTAAGAGTATTTTTTATTAATAAATTACATGTACTATAATTGCTATTTAAATTCCATTGCAATTACATTCGTTGATAACCTGTGCTGGGTGCAGTTTGATTTTGTTTCCACTTTTCNCTTTAACATTTTCATGTAATTAATGCTGTGAACTTTTTTTTTTCATATTAGATGCTAAGCCGACAGATGACCAAAGTGATTGACACCATCAAGACAGCTTTTGATTCAGGTAAAGTTTGTGTAAAAGAGTCTTTTTTATCAGTAGAGTACTTCCCTGCTATAATGAAACTCAAACTCCATGTTGACTTGACCCTGGGCCCATTTACCCTGGGTTTAATGCCATCTCTTCAGTCACTTACCATCACTTAATTAACTCCTGACCAACAAAATAATATTGATTTTCTTGGGTGATAATTACGATAACTCAAACTTTACGTTCAAAACGTTTGTCAACTTTGATCAGAAAACACTGAAATAGCTGATTACATGTACACCTGTCAAAATCTAAACTTTTTATTTGAGGTCAAAGTGAACGACTGGAAATATGATCAAGTATGTGGAAGACTGAAAACAACTCTTAAACATGTATGGGTGGCAAAAGCACAACACATCATCAACTGATAACATGATAATTGGAATTCAAAATTAACATGGCTAAGTCAAAAAAAATTTCCCTAGGCAGCTCAAGCTAGTGGGATTCCACTGTATTTTAAGAGTAAATTGTAACAAATTAAGAGTATTTTTATTAATAAATTACATGTACTATAATTGCCATTTAAATTCCATTGCAATTACATTTGTTGATAACCTGTGCTGGGTGCGGTTTGATTTTGTTTCCACTTTTTGTTCAGCTGAGGAAGAACAGACCACACCCGAGGACTACTCTACTGCAGCAAGTGAAAATGCAGTTCTTCCTTGGAAATTAGCAAATTATGAAGATGTCCCTGACAGAGTGAGTATATAACTAGAGAGAAAAAGAGCAAGGCTCCAGGATTAATACAAAATTAATATTCTTTGAGAGGGTATTAAAGTGTTAGAATTTGAATTTAATTATCTGTTACAGGGCACTGATTTCAACCAAGAGAACTGTTTGATGTTATTCTACTACTCTGCATTTCTTGCCAACCAAGAGGAGTGCAGCCTGCCCACACCACCATCTCCAATCCACTCTCTCTATGAAGAAAAACAAGAGAATGGCATTGAACAAGATGGGCTGCAACTCTGGGAAAAGAAGTGGAAACATAAAGTGACACCTTCTGATTTGGAGGATGAAGCTGTTGGCTGGGATACTAATCACCAAGTGCACCAGTCGTTAGGTCCTCGGACAGCTGGTGACGGAAGTGATAATCCTGATGACCCTGTTGCATTGTCCTCAGACAACCAATCTGCATCTGCATTACATCTGGGATTCCACCAGAGAGGACGGTCAGGGGCTTTATTAAAGAAGCATAAAGCTGATTTGCCATCAAGCACCCCTGCAGTGGTACACAGGCCTCTTGGACTCTCTCTGAGTCAGCCGGAACCCAGAAGTAAGTCTGTGGA